GTGTTGAAAATAGAGAAGTTTGTAGGGGGCAACACAAGGGAAGTGACAAAGTACAACGAATATGCCAGGAAAAAAAGAAACAAAAAAGTCCTCAAATACATTTTGTATCATCCCAACACTAACAAGGAAAACTCCTATGAATCCATAGTCCTTAAGAGAAGTGAAAAGTCAAAGATGTGTTGAGAGGATAACTGAGAAAACACCACGCAACAATAACAAAATTGGCCCCAGCCACTTAACCTGAAATCGAGTATCAGGCACAAAAGCATTCGCCGGATGTCAAGCCCACAGATGCTCCAATAATACATTAAGGAAGCCCAGGAGAGCCCACTAGACCTGTCTCCATAGGCTTGTTAGAATAGGCATCAATGCACAGGCGCTTAGGAACCATGAAGTCTACCCCAGAAACCAAGGTATCATCATCAGAAACGGGCGCACACATGGTAGAGACCAGAGGAGACGAGGCCCAAACACAAGCAGACGAACCACCAAACAGCAAGGGAGGAAAATATGAAAGCGATCAAACCAGACCCAAAAGCGTGGGAAGAGTCACAGCAACGACGGACTGAAGAGAGGTTGACATTGAATCGAAAGCGAGGACGTAGACGAGGGCGAACTGAGGAGAGGAGGGCGATGAGACTCGCTTGGCTACACTATTTATTATTATTTTTTTTAAAAAAAACCAGTAAAGCCCTGCGGCTATACTATTTTTAAAAACAATTTAAACAAACCCAAGTATAGCCGCGGGCTATACTATTTTAAAAAATATCCGATAGTATAGCCGCGCGGCTATACTATTTATACAAAAAGAAAAAAGTACTTGGCTAGCGCGGTGGCCGCGTGTCAAAAAAAGTATAGCCACACAGCGATATTATTTAAATATATTATATTTAAAAGGTATAGCCGCATGGCTATTCCTTTTATTAAAAAAAAAAAGGACTAACATCAAAAGACACCCTCTAGGTTTGGGGACATTCTCAATATGAGCCACGGGGTATCAATTTCATCAATTTACACCCCAATGTTTTCAAACTTGTCCAATTTTATTCTTCCGTTAAATTGACCGCGTGGTCAATCATTAAATGCTAACATGGTGCATGTGGGGGCTACTTTTTTGTTTAATTGAAATAGAATATTATTTTAAAACTATATTAAATTTAATAAATAATTATTAAATATTAAAAAACCTAAAAAATCCAAAAACAAAAAACCATCGCTCTCTCACTTTCCCTCTCTCTGGGAAAAACTCAATCGGCCAAACTCCATTGCCGCTGCCCAGCTCCTCCTCACGCCCAAATCCATCGTTCTCTCTCTTTCACCAAGCCCCCAGCGTGATGGCTGTAGCGATTCTGACGAGGCCGGTTCTGGAGCCGTGCTCGAGGATTTGCAGAGGTCTGCGACGCGAGTCCAAGGCTGTGAGAGTGGGGCCGAGTGGGCCGGTGCTAGGGTTCGGTGGTGGTCGTCGAGGAGAGTGAGGAGCGTGGTGGCTGCTGGCTAGAGGTGGCTAGCCCTCCTGATCTGTTTCCATGGCCGCTTCAGACTCAATGCGAGAGAGAAGGTGGATTTGGGCAGTGACCATCGCGAATCTAGGCATGGTGGAGGAGCTGGCCAGTGTCGCGAGGAGGGGGGAAGAAGCTGGGCAGTGGGCTTAGTGAAGAAGAGAGAGAGAGAGAGAGAGAGAGAGGAGGCCAAATTCAGATGAATTTGATTACCCTAGTTGCCCATCTGCTTATCAGGTCTCTTACCTACTTTTAGCTTCTTCTTTTTAAAATAAAAAATAAAAAAATCTGTTGATCTTGATTGATATGGGATTCTAGAGGTTAATTATTGATTTTATTTTTTCTGGGTTTTTGTAGGAATTTGTGAAGGCAGCAATTGCTTACAAGAACAACGTTAATAGCAAGAAACATATACATGTTGGAGAACAGTCAGTATAAACCAAATAACAGAATAAATAATACAACGAAATATGCTTTGATATAGAAATAATCAAATTAACACTACAGTAAAATAAATACAGAGTACTGACTTGAATTGTAGATAGAGTCATGCAGATTTGCAGTGTCCTTTGGACAGTATTTCTCCTCTACCCTTGTGCTTGTAGTTCGATAGGAGTTTGTCCACCAGGATTAAACTATCACAAATCAAAGCCTAAGCACTGTGGCTTTGATTTCTGGCAAACAGCGATATGATTTCTCTCAGGAGTGCTAAAATGTGAGAATGATAATGCGATTTCAAAGGTGTCTTTCTGGTTTGGACGAATGGTCATTATATAGAGGTCTGATACCTCTTCATCCAACAGTTATGTTAACTGTTTAACATATTTGAATTTCAAATTTCGGTCTTATCTGAAATAACCGAATTTTCAATTAATAAAAATAAATTATTAATTTAATCAACAGAGCCCAACAGCCCCAAGGCGCAAGGCCCATCTTTTGACCATTAAATATATATATATATACCCAAAGTTGCCTCAATTAGGCCTATACTCTATTTAGTATTTCTAAAGTGTTGGTACTTATAAACCATGGATGGAAACTACTCCCTTCCAATGTGGGACTAGATGCAAGTGTATTTTTCTATACAAACTCTGGAGGCCTAGGAAGTGGTTTGTAACCAATCAAGGAATCTGAACTTGAAGCTAGAGCAGAATTCCTTGAGGTTTCTGATAGATTACCAACTATTTGATATTTTGTTCCAAAGTTTGCTATTTTCTGCAATTAAACACAGCATTGAGCTTTACAGCAAGAGAATAGGCTAAAGCAAATGGGCGCAATAGTGAGAAATGCAGGGTGCTACATACAGAGATTGAAGAGAGAGCGATGGATTTTTTCAGTTGGGGAATGTCAGCTGGGCAGCGTCGCGGGGTTGGGGTGGGGGGAGCGATGGAGAAAGTGAGAGAGCGATGGATTTTTTCAGTTTTTTTAAAAATTAAAAAATTATTTATTAAATTTAATTTAGTTTTTAAATAATATTCTATTTCAATTAAACAAAAAAGTGGCCCCCACA